ACAGTTTCATAAGAAGATGTCATTAAACTGTAGGACTACTCTATTTATAAAATAAAGTTGTAACACATTCTTCTCTTGTCTTTTGTCATCTGTGCTTTTTCAGTGTGGGGAGCTGTTGTATGAAAAACGCCAGTATGAAAAGGGCCACTGGGCTTGTATTACAATGCGAGAGGACACTTATGAGCAGAGCATCTGCTATGGTTTTATGAGGATAATGAGATACATCTGCCAGCAGAACTCCTTAGGTAAGTCCATGAGCAAGGGACCATTTAACACACAATCAGGTTCTTCTGTGTTAAATTCCCTGCCTTATCTTTCATTTGCTGATGATCTTCTCCAAGCCGCTTATTTTTCAAGCCTGAGCGGTAATAATTCCATTTCCTTTACATCTCTAGAAGACTACCTGGGCATGACGCTCCCTATCGTCACAGTGGTACGCACAGACGAGACCCACTCTGTGGTCTCCAATGACGTCACAGTGGCGTATTTCCTTCCTGCTGAGCATCAGGCCCAGCCCCCACAACCTACTGACAGTGAAATCGTCCTAGAGATCTGGCCCGCCACTACTGTATACACAAGGTGAGTAGAGAATGAAATAAAAATGACATGTTGTACTACTCCTAAATTAAATCCTTCTTTTTTTTTAGCACTAAAGAACAATGATGATGATCAGTAGTGGTAGAGTTAATGCTTGGCCTGTTTTTCCTGCTCGGGTTTAGGAAATAGAAATGTGATGCCTCATACTCATGCACCTCTTCCTGTTTCTTCCAGGCCCTTTACTGGTCCCACCAACGAAGTGACCATCATTGATCAGATCAACGCCCTGGCTGAGCTTCTGGACTCTCCCGGTGTGTGCGTCAACGACTCGTTCATCGTGGCCGGCTACACCAACCCCGCTCACAGCAATCGCCAGAATGAGATCTGGTTCCTAGAGCGACCCTGAGGGACGAGAGGATTATGCAGCGCTCCTATCTGTGACCCTTGAGCCTCATTAAGACTCCCTTGACACTGCCGCAGCCCAGCTACAGCCTTAGATGCAAGACCGTCTTTATTCACCACCTCTACCTAAAATTACCACCAGCCAAGCACACTCCAGATCCGTTGGGGCCTGTTCAGCCCTTACTTAACCCTCTGCAAATTTTCATACACTCTAATCTAGATAGATCCTCTTTCACTCATAAGAACTGAACTAAACCACTGCCATAATCTCATGGACACAGAGACCCAGATAGCATTCATCTCCTGCTCTTACATTGAGATAGCTAAAAAAAAAAACAGTTTGCCCTCTTGTTAAAAAATTTAAATAGTTTGAACTCTTAGCGCTCTGTGAACGCAGTGACCATTGAGTGCTGTCAGAAACATGCAACAGCCTGTCTTTACACAGCAGAAGCAGGTTCCCAGTAGACATGCAGCCTTATCTATATGCTCAATTTCTGTTTGTTGCACAGCTACAGTGTCTTGTTATGTGGGGTAAAGGTTAATGCACAACAGAAAAAAATATTTTCTCTGTCATTGTCTAGCTTGCTGAGGTGATTGCAACCGTCACTGTTGTATCACTGTTTCTTTATCTCTGCACTACATAATTCACTATATGTTACAAGTCACACTGCATAAAAAAACTGTTTTCATTCAACAACAAGTGCATCCAACATCCAGACCAGAACTGGAGACTTCAACCATAAATAAGCTCAACACAATAGGTGACACTAAACTTAGAAAACAAAAACCTATGAACATAATATGTTCATTGGTGTTTGTGCATGAATGTACAGCTACAGGGAGATGGATAAAACAAATGTCACACTTCTACAAACCAAACGCTGAAAAACTCATAGATTTTACTGCTGAATGACAATCATGAAGTACTTATATATTATATACATCTTTTTTTTTTTCTTAAGGCAAGTCAATGCATTCCTCATGTTTCATGTCCGTACACACAGGAATAGTTACCTCTGTACCTCTTTCTCCTTGCTACTCTGTGTCAATGTTATGAGTACGGATTCGCTCGTTCAAATACCACTGCTGCTGAGTAGAGACAACCAAGAAAACACATATGAGCACAGAGAATATCTCTACTGCGATTAGACTCTTTTTTGTTTTGTTTTAGAAAGCTAAATTCTGTTTGAGGTAAAACTGTTTTAATGTTCTATCACCAATCTAAAGAGAGTCTATTAAGTAAGAGTGAAAGAAATAGGTATGTTTATCTTCACTGTATTTTATGCAACATATACAAAGTGGTATACGTCAAACCAGCTACAGCTAGAGTTCACAGTAATGTAGGAACGTTTCTGCTATGAAAATGTACATTTACTGCTTCGGTGCCAGAGGAAGAAAACTGGAAGTGAACTAGCCAAATCATCACTGTGTGAGGCTTTCTATCAGGACAGGGGCATCCTGAAATGCCTAGGCGTGCAGATATTGAGGCCTATTAAATAAGTGTAAAATTAAGTGAAATTTTGTGCTCAAATTGTGAGAAAGTTGGTTTTATCTTATTTAATTAATCAAAGTTGTCATTTAAGAAAGTAAATATTTGGTTGGGATGGTTGCCGAGTATTAAAGCCAAGTAGTTTGGTTGACATCAAGACACCAAATCCAAAGAATTTATTTATCATTAAATGATTGTAGTCAATATTATACTCTATGACAACTGTAGTGTGTAAACACTTGCAAAGCCATTATACATGTGGGTTGGTTTTCCCTTTAAGAGCCTGGTTGTATGGGAACATAAAGTGTGATGATTTAACTTTTATTTCCTTTCTCTTTGCTTATTTTTTTTTTTTTTTTTGTGTGTTTTGCAAAAATGTGCTGTACTGTGAAAATTCAAGTGCAACAACAAGAGCTACTGTGGTTTTCTTTGTTCAATAAAAATGTGCTCGTGTCCTGTCTTTTGAAATGTACGGTACAGTTTTATTGCGTTTATATACACGATACACAAGTTCTACCGGGTGTTTCAGTAGATTATGTGTTGAGTCGTGGTATGGAGGAGCTCATGATAAATCTCATCCCTTGCTAAGGGCTATCTGAATTATTGTGAAAGAGCCTCACAGGCTTTTAAGGAATGATACGTGGAATATACATGTAGTTAATTTATATTCTCATTAAAGCAACAACTGAGCAGTTCTGTATGAGAGAAATACATTCCAGCTTCCAACTAAAATAAGACCTGCAAGACCAGTGTGTGAGGCTGGTTTTGCCTCTTCTGTTTGTACCAACCAACACATACTGTAAACCCACTACAGAATATCCCTAAAGGGTATTCCTTACTTTTTATGGGATCAAATGTGGCAAACAAAACGGGTCACACCCTATTTTGTTCTGAAACATATAGCATAACCCATTTCAGGAGGGGTAATATGATGAGTTCTCACAAGAACACACACACACACACACACACACACACTACAGTATATCAGACTGCAGCCTGTTATACAATATAGTACACTATAGCGTCTGATGGAGATTCAACAATATGATGAGAACTGAGAACTTGAACAGTTTTATTACTGTAAGAAATGTGAAAAACAACTTGTGGGTTTAAACATCTGCTTTACTGAAAGTACAAATACTTTTTCTCTTAGTCATAAACTTGAGCACATTTGTTTGAATAAGTAACGGAAATAATTTTTGGACTAATTACTTTTATGTGGAATGGCACTAAAAACCTAAGCCCTAAATTACACCATCAGTTTCCATTACAACACAACTCAGGGTCTAGACGCCATGACAGATATCTCAGCACTTGGCTTGGCCTAGATGTTCACTGATGTTCACACGCATTGTCTATAAAACAACCGTCCATTATCAATCAAAATCAAAAAGCTGAGACACATAAAAAAAATTTATTTTATGGGTTATATGGACGAACACTGGTCTCTCCCTCATCACGGTGATAAAAATGGGCCGAAAACAGATGGAAAAGCACAAAAAAAACCTGTCTGCACGACTGGTTCATTTCTCCGATTTGCTCAAAAATCATTAAATTCCGCCTGAATGACTGCAGCGATGCTCATTTTACACCCGAGTACAATGTTACCTCTATGTTGTGTACTGTCTGGTCAAATTATGGGAGGGCAGTGGGGAAATGGAGGTTAACAAGCGGGATGCAGACACCATCCGGTCAGGGGGTAATGTGAACAGGAGGTGAAAAATGAAAAGTAAAGCAATTAAAGAATAAGCACAAAAAGCTCTATTATTAAAAACAATCCAAAAAGAATTAGAGAGTAGAGAAGAAAAGACACAACAGAGCTGATACGCAGCGGCTCTAATCTTTCAACTACAGGTGTCACATTCCAGCTGTCCAGCCAGTTGAGACAGATGAAGTGTAGCTGCACGCTTACAGTACAGTACACACAGACAGTGAACCAACCCGTGACAAGCAGACAGCCCTGTAGGGTCCGTTAATAATCCAGAACCGTTTAGTCCACAAGCACTGACAAAGCCAGACCACCGATTGTGACAGGATGTTGCTTTCGAAATAAATCAATCCATTTAATATTAACTGACCCAGTAAGAACCATGCAGCGAGAGGAACATGTGATGCTCAGAAAAGGATTATGCCTGAGGATTTTTTTTTTTTTTTTTTAAACAGAAGCAAGCAAACAGTGACCACAAGGTGGCAGCAAAGCATCAAAATAACTAATGCCACATGCTCTCTATTATGATGAAATCAAACCAATGATATATAGGAGAATGTTTGAATATAAAACTAACTAAAGTTTTAATGCACTTGTCAGCTGGTGATTTTGAGTATTTATAATAATAATAATAATAATAATAATAATAATCCAAGAGTAAAAACATCATGGCCAATAAAGACTGACTAGACAAGTAGTTTTGGTAACAACAAGAAAGAAATATGTTCTTGGTGCTCAGCATTGAATAAAAAAGTAACCTTCTTCACATCCCCTAAACTCTGACTGTTATGTCGGATGTGTATTTGTAGGAATATATAAAAGCTGTAAGTACAGGGAGGAATTCTGCAAAATCTCTGTGCCTACCTGCAGGTAGCGGGTCTGGTGAGCAGACAGGGCCTCACCCAGAGGGACCACCATTTTGTCCACACTACGCTGGTGGGAATGGGCCTGGATGTCTGGGCTCTCGTCTGAACGCAGCTCAATGTGCGAGATGAGCAAATTCGAGATCACTGACTGCACTGACTGCAGGGATAGAGATTTTTTTTTAATTGTTGGGTCACATCAGAGAGAAGCAACTGATTTTATAGACACATATATTGTATATTTTTCTTACCTTTGTATCTCCCCCTGGAGTTGCACTAAGGGCCAGGATGCGGAACTGGAGAGTCTGGCTGCCGAGCTGTCTGATCACCTGAGTAAGAGGAAGAGACGCAGGACATTGTTAGCACTTTATTTGAATAGCCCAAATATTTAACTAACTAAAAGTGCTAGAATGCAAACCTGAAGAGGCAGCCCCTGCTAGAAAGCAGAAGTGAGCAGAGCGTGGATATAAATTATTGTATAGTAAACGACATATGGATAAAATAATGTTAATTTTGGCTACCTGACAATTCACTGAAGCAAAAATCATATATTTTTCCATGAGCAGCTGTGATCGTTGATTTCCCACAAGGGTCTAGTAGTACAACCTGAGAGATTATAGGGATAGGTACCTTGGTATACAGTATTTTGTAAATAGTATCTCGTTAAACTTGCTCCCTTATTGTGACCACAGCCTCCATTTTCTGGAACAGACATCTTACAACCACCTTTCAAGATAGATAGATTATCACTTCAAGTCACCTTATCGAAGGTTCACAATTAGAATTTGACTCATATAACCATGAAGATTCACACAGCAGTGACAAAGCTAATGCCAAGCTGTGCTCATTAGTGACAGGGTTTGTGTACCTGACAGTAAGCATGGTTGCCCAGTGCCTTGTGGGCTTCATCGATCACCACACACTTGATCTGCTGAGCCGGGCAGGTCTCTCTGGACAGATCGTTCACCATGACCTGAGGCGTGAGGAAGAAGACCCGCTTGCTCCTCCACACCTCCTGTCTCTGCTTTGCTGCTGTGCTCCCTGCGGATGAGGACATTCTTATTACTCTTGTTAATAAAAGCTAAAAGAGGAAACATGAATGTGGTTTTCGTGTCCCGGTTTGTTACCTGTCAGCTCTGCCATGTGCGCCTGTGGGATCCCCATCACTTTATAACAGGCCTCAATCTGTTGGGCCACCAGCGGTTTGGTTGGAGCCATGAATACAATCTTCCCTGATGGATACCAGCGGTAGAAGTTGTACATAACCACAGAGGCTATAAAGGTCTTTCCCAGACCAGTGGGAAGACACACCAGTGTGTTCTGAAACAGGGCAGCCTCTGATATCTTCAGCTGGTACTCCCTGATGGGGTAATTGGTGGGGTAAATCCATACCTTAGCCGAGGAGCTGTCAAAGCCAGGGAAGTCTGGATATGTCTGCCCAGCTGACGGGATGGGGGAGAGGGCAGTGCTCTCTGTCCCCACAGGGTTGTCATATTGACATGAGTTTACATTATCAAGTTGCAGGCTCTTTTCAGCTTCATAAACAGCGACCACCATCAGATCATCGTCGTCATATTCATCTTCATACACAGGTTTAGGTTCCTCTGTCCTCACTGGGTTCTCTGATGTGTACGTGGGCTCCTGGCCTATTTCAGTCCAGAGAGGATTTCGAGGTTGGTGTTTTTTAGCTACCTGTGTTGTGTTGCTTGGGGTTGTTCTGCGCCGTCCAGCGGCTTTCTTGACATCTTTTTTCGGTTGAACAACGTTGCTTTGAGAAACGGACCCACCCCAAGACTGAAACAAAGTCCTCTGATTTGAACCACTACTCATTTTCGGTTAGTTGTGGCGACTAACTTTGAGAAAAAGTCCCGTGTGACGAGCAGCAACATTGCAAACTGAATATACAAACAGGGTCACTTCCGCCGACGTTCTACCAAAATATAACACCACATAGACAACGACCGCTTTACCCGAGTGTTATTTCGGTCTTTTGAATGCAGTTTCAACTGTCACATTTTCACTGTATTGTATTCACGTCAAAATATAAAGCTAATAGCTGAACCAACACATTTACGTGGTTGAATTTTAAACTGAGGCTTTTATTTTTTCAGGGTGACACCGGAACAGAATCAAAAGTTCGAGTTCATCTCCCGCTCTCCGAGGAAACGCTGTCATGTTACCATAGTAATGGACAGAAGCAAATGGGAGAAGATACTCACCTGTTTTCAGGTAATTAATGCATCTAATTAGCTTGATTTCAAGTCGTAAAGCACCAGGTTGTGTCTCTATACCGGCACTAATACACACTTAAATGTTATTTTGCTAGTTAAGCCTGTTTAGGCGCTGTTGCTAACTCTGGCAGACGGCTGCTAATAGGAACTAGCCGTTAGCACTGACGTAACTAACGCCGGTTAGCTAGTAGGCTGCTGTAACTATAGTAACTGTAACCATGTCCTCTTCTGTAGGCATCTGCACGTGGATACTTGGTGAGAAACGAAGTCCGTCGTGCACGACAAGACTTTGAAGACATCGTGAGAGAGACTGATGGGGGGTTGACTCATCTAGAGTGGAGGGAGACGGTTATCCCCATCCCCCACTTCACAGACACTGTAAGTAACTTAAAGAGTGAGTGTATAAGATTGTGGGATTCTATCAGAGTTCATGCTCTCTTACTCATACCTCACCAGGACGGCCCGTGTCTGCGACCCAGCGGATCTGGCAGCAAGCCTTCAAATCCAGGACTAGATGTCTGTGACAGTCCCATCAGCCCAGCAGCCAGCAGCATCAGCATCAGCAGCAGCACCCACATCAGAGGAGAGAGGAGATCATCGTGCTCCGCTGGAGAAGATAGAAGCAGAGAGAGACGATTCACAGGCCGAACGACGGGCCTCCCTTCTAAAGACAGTTTCCCTAGCAACAATGTTAGAGGGGATGCAGAGGGGCATAAAGGAAACAGTGTGGGGGCTAAAGATGGAGGGGTGATGGAGAGCACAGGAGATACCACTGTCTGGAGCAGTTTGGAGCTGGACATGAGCTATGGTCACTCTCACAAAGGTGAGAGTTGTGCACATAATATTATGTTTCCAGTACATTTCTGTGGCCCCATTTATCGTTCATTTATAACAGAGGTAGTGTTGCATCTTATTTGGGGCTTCAACTCACAGTTATTTTCATAATCACTTAAGCCTGTGAAATTGCAGAAATAAAATACATACAGAAAAATACACATCACCATTTCCAAAAGCTTAAGGAGATACCTTTTAAGTTGAAATTGAAAATCATCATATTGGAGGAGCTGGACACAGCAAATGTTTGTTATTTTTCCTAGATAAATGAATTGAATTGTTGATTATCTCAATTAATGATCAGCACTAATTGTAACTTATTGTGTAAGCAATGCAAACAATGTCCATCTTTAAAATACATTAAGATATATAAAAAAAAACCTGCCAGCTGGCTGACATTATGATTACTTTTAATTATGAGACTGTGACCTGTGTCAAAATAGCTTCAAGAAAATAAGCAAAAAGTCAGTTTATACCTACAGGATTCAGGAACCCAGGAACTTGGAAAACATGTTGCACTTTTGTGGTTGCAAACAGATTTGTCTCCTGCCCTTCTTGTTCATTTTAGGGTTTGTCCTCCCTCCTTCAGGTCCCCGGCAGTACTGCTTGGCCCAAGAGGTGCCCTGTACCCCGGAGGCCCTGCGTCTCCATAGAAACACCCTGACCATGGAGCTGCTCTGGCTCCAACAGGCCATTGACAGCAGGAAAAAGGTACAACCGAGGAAGGGAGAGATGTAGTGTTTTCCTACAGTTATTCAGCAGTGGCAGTCTCCCGCTGTAAGAAAATTGCTTCTGCTGCTGGACTAGAATTTATTTAGTGACCTTAAAAATAACTCAGTAAAGTGGATCCAAGAAGCATCAGTTCTTTTAGAAAAGTACTTACCCTGTAAGTATCTATATCTGAATAATGACCATAGTGTACAGGCAGCATTTGTAGATACTGATTGAATACCATCAACATGTCTTATACTTATACTTAACAAATATGGAGACTGAAGTTGTGTGCATGATTCATCCTGTTATTCTCTCACAATCCGACCTGTGTATTAAGTACATCAATCTGTAACACTGTTTCTTAGTATGCCTGCACCCTTCGCACTCAGACTGTGTGCCAGTTGAATCTGTTAATTTATCCTTAACAAAACAAATGTCCTCATGAATCCTGCATCACCGCTTCCATGAATCACCCAGCAGCTCCGGACAGTGCAAAGGTGCCAAGATGTGGAGTGCACACAGAACACTTAATGTAAACTGATCTCTTGAAAGCCGGATATACCCACACACCCTAGAGTTAAATTTTCAAACACAGAAAACCTTAATTAACAAGAAAAAGCTTTTATACTGAAATATATATGTATATGAATGTAATAATTTCCATAACTTCATAATCCCAAACTTTGTTGTCGTTGTTGTCATTCACTGGGAGGTAGCACACTCACAAGGTAAAACTTTGCACGGAACAAATGTTTAATGATTGTTTTTCCTGTCTTTCGTCCCCTCTATAGTACTTGTCACTGAAGGATAGGCTGAGCGTATCCTGACAGCAGAAGTAATCTGAACTGGACTGATAACGTGAGACTGAAGACCTGAGTGGAACTCAAGTGGCCCCGGTTTTGTTATTTTATATATAATACACAGTAAATAAATTGCTTTCAGTTGTATTTATCATGTGTTCAGTGAAGTGTGTACATTGTGTCTTTTATTTGTTACTGTAAAAAAAATAATAATAAAGTATATTTTTTCTAAAAAGTATTTCTGCCTACTGCTGTTGTTTCCACTGCAGTGGTTTTTGGTGATATTGTCCTCACTGCATAAATTGTGACAGGTTGAGGTATTTGCTTTTGTTTAGGAAGAAGGTTCATTCAGTCGAGAATCTTCGGCTCTGAGCAAGTTTGTGTCGTGACGCACACAAGCTCAAATTTCCAATTTGGATCACAATGAATGAGCTCTCAATCATCACATGAGGAAATTCTGCCTACAAATATTCACATGACTGTCTCCTATTGAGCTGCTGTTGTCTTTTGGAATTAATGTCATTAAAGAGAACCCACAGGAAAAAGGCAAAAAAAAAAAGAAAAGAAGAATTGCATTGTCCTGCTATTAAAGTTGTATTTGTTTAAATGTTATCATGTGTCATTTGAGACATTTCAGCGATGCTTCTATCACCTGCTGGTTGTTGCTCTTTGGTAATGCTAACATGCATGAAGTATGTGGCAGTTATTTTTTGGGGTGGGGGGGAAATACAGACAACTGAGTGTCGAGGTTATCTTATTGATTCAGCTTAGAACACAGCGACCCACCCATTCTCTCCTCCTCTGTCCGTCTCTTTTGTTGTGGTTGCTGCCGATGGTTTGGCCCACAAAGCCAGTCATTGCTGTTACGCTGCCATAGCAACCAGGAAATACTCACCACCGTCAGTGGAGTAGTGCGTGTGTATGTGTGTGTGTGTATGTGTTAGGGGGATAGAGAGTGCAGAACGTGGTGAGTGGGAGTCCAGACAGACCACAACAACAGAAGGGACTGATTTTCACCTTTGCCTTCAATTCCACTATTTCCTCGCTTCATCATCTTCAACCAGGCTTGTGAGTGACCGAGCAGTATCTGTGTGGAGCAGTGTAATGTGTGTGGTTGTTGAGCAAGTGTGACTTAAAGAATGTGAATGTATCTGGTGTGTGAATATGGTCAGAAAATGCAACTCTGAGTGGAATGATATGTACGTGGGGAGAATTATGTGCAGTGTGTGTGTGTGTGTGGACTCAAACAGACTTTTTTTTTACTGTGTGTCTGAGGCAGTAACAGCTGGCTCAGAGATGGCTGCCACCACCGCAGCCACAACACTGCCTCCAGTGAAGAGTGTGGTGGTGTATAGGAATGGGGACCCCTTCTACAGTGGACGGAGGTTCGTGGTCAACCAGCGACAGGTGGCCACCATGGAAGCCTTTCTGACTGAAGTGACCCAGAGCATTGGTGCTCCGCTTGCCATCAGGACCCTGTACACCCCCAGACAGGGCCACAGGGTCTCAGACCTTGAGGACCTTCAGACAGGAGCCCAGTATGTTGCTGCTGGCTTTGAAAGGTTCAAGAAACTGGAGTGAGTACAAAAGCCTTTTACTGTAATGGTATTAAGGATCATTTTAATGTACAGATGCTCTAATAGGAAGCTTTTTGTCTCTGAAATAAAAGTAAACAAATTTAAAATTAATTATATTATACTTTTTGGTATTTGGAAAAGAGATGAAAACACTTTTTTCTTGATCATATCTGTTGTTTTCATGTACAGTTACCTGAACACAGGAATGAAAAAGCATCCTGTTACCCGTGAAGAAACCCAGGTAGGCTTTTATTTTGTAATGTGGCCAGCTTGCTTTTAAGGCCAGCAGCACACTCCATCACTCATTAATCCCAGTCTAACCAGGAGGAATGCACCACCAGGCCGCACTCATATCAAGTTGATCCATTTGAAATGCAGCCAAATCAAATAGGAAAATGACTGCAGGATTTTCCATTACCGAGACAAGCTCATATTTGGCTGTAATTGTGACGACACGTTGTTATGCTAGCATTAGTCAGATTAGATGCACTTTGTGTGTGTGTGTGTGTGTGTGTGTGTGTGTGTGTGTGTGTGTGTGTGTGTGTGTGCGCATGGGTCACCCTTTGCGCTTACCGTTCCCATTGATGTCACTGGTTGTCATGTAAATTACCGGAAACAATGGGCTAATGATTGTGCTGTCCATCAGCAGTCATTCGGGCTTTGCAGGGTGCCCTTTTAAGCGTCTCATGGCATTAATTTCAGTAATTACAGCTGGATACCGTCAGAGATCAGATATTTACAGAGTGTATCAGAGATTTTGATCGTTTTAATCAAGAAAATTCTCAGAAATCAGAACTCAACTGTTAGCTGTTTAAATTGAAGCTTTTTTTGTGCATTGAAAGGCAGGCAGGGCAGGGTGATAATGATGGTAGTAATATGCAGGCAGAAGCTCTCTTAATGTCCACACAAAACTGATTTCACACACAAGTGCACACACATGGCCACTCATGCTGACAAGTGCTCACTTTGTATTCTGACCAGCTGGCAGGGATGACCGCTTGGTTTTTCAGACACAGAGTGTGCTCTTAAGCCATCAGTGTTACTTTTGTAAAAAACATTAAAAAAGGAGTGGAGAGTAATTGTGTGTGCCTTGGGTGTCTGCCATTTGGAAAGCTGGGTCTTTGGGTTTTAGAGTCTCACATGCCTGTGTTGTGGTTGCTGTGGAGCAATGCAGGAAGTGTGTCTGTATGCGAGTTGTGTTTGATACCACTGGTGGAACAAAGAGATATGCTTCAGCACAGTGTTATCAGGGCTGTGTGCATGTCTGGGCAGGCCTAATGCCCATATTCATCGCCCCATGCCTCCTCCTCTGCTCAGAGACACTGTAAATGCATTATATGTCTGCCAGTTCCAAAAAAAAAAAAAAAAAACAATAAGGGAAGATTATCAATGTCTGTTTTGTTCGGAGTTGATTGATTTAGTACAGCTTTGTTATCAGAAAGACACGGATATAGGCTCCAGATTTCATTGATGTGGGTAACAGCTTTGAGAGGAGCCCTCAGATCAGACACGGCGTGTGAATGTGCCACCGGAGAAGTCTCGGAGTGACGTTAGTTTCCATGGCTGCAGCACTTGAGCTGGCATGAGCAGAATAGTTAGTCAGTCATTTACACTTTTGGAATAAGTGATTTTGCTGTGATGGACGTGCGGCGTAATTGATGTGCAGGACGTGGGTGACGTAAAACTGACGAGGGGATTTTCAATATTGCAGAGAAAATGACATTATGATGTTTTACGGTACCATGCATATGATTTTCTGAATGTCCTCTACAGGCCAAAGTAACCCAGAGGCCAAATGTCTCAGCCAAATGGAGGAGGTTTATACCTGTACCTTGCATTTTACAGTGAGTTGGACATATTACATGCAAACACACACATCAATTTTTAAATGGGTATCTTTCAAATTTACAAATCTAGCAGTATGGCTAAAAGGATGGTAATGTCAGATGGTTGCTCGGAGGGGCCATCACTTTGGTCCAGACTGAGGTATCTCAACGACTGAACAGATTGAGATGGACATCATTGTACAGACAGCAGTTCCCAGAGGGGGAATCCTAATGACTTTGGTGATCCGTTGACATTCCTTTCGGAATGCCGGTTTACATTTGTAGTTTTGATTGAAATGTCTCCACAACTAAATTTGGTACCCATGTTCATGTTCCCCTCAGGAGGAATTGTAATAACTTTAGTGAACCTTTGACTTTTCAGAGCTAGCACTAGCATGACTGCAGAGTAAGGAAACACTATCCAGGGAAACAGAAATACGTTTTGCAGTAAAACTTTGGAAGATACCCTCTTGATTTTTGATTTTAGAATTCATTTTTCCACAGAACTAGCATTGTAGACTTTGTTCCCCATCTCGTACACTGGAATAACATGAGGAAACCAATCATATGTTTCAGTGTACATATGGGCATGTATTATTTAAGACAGAATTTCAAACCCAGAACCCATCCTTTCTGTTCAGTGTTTTCCGTAATGGAGATCTCCTGTGTCCACCATTCCGATTCATCATTCCTCGGAGCATGCGGCAGGACCTGGAGCAGATCCTGAGTCTGGTCACAGAGAAGGTCAGCTTAAGAACCGGAGCTGTGCGCAGGTCAGTGACACTGACTGATATCCACATACACCCTGAGGAACACAAATTGAGAGAAAAATCCAGTAACTATAATATAACCTCTGTGCTTTCCTCAGATTGTGCTCCATGGAAGGAGCGACTGTGTCCTCAGCTGTTGAGCTGGAGTCCGGCCACTACTATGTTGCCGTGGGAACCGAAAGGTTCAAGAAACTTCCATATGTGGAGCTGTTGGTTTCAAAAGCTACAGAGAGGTATTGTCATGCACGGTCCTCTGTGAGTGTGTCTTAAGAATGTGTGTTTATGTGCATCTGTGCTGCTCTGCTCTCTGACTGACTTTTCTTTCTTTCTTTCTTTCTTTCTTTCTTTGTAGATATTACCCAGGAAAGAGAAGGCTGTTAAGGAGAAATGAGGTACCTTCAATTAGTAGTGTAATTTACTCACCTTACTTTCATGTCTTAAAATTGCAATCTTAGCGTCTTTACTCTGCAACCTACAGCAGTAACATGTGACAGCTGACTTGTATGTGTCTTGTATGTGTTTCTCCTAGAACAGGAAAGCAGGAAGCGGTCCAGAGGACCAGTACAGTGACTCAGCTCTCCTAGACTCTCCCGAGGTAAAACAAGCAACCCTCCGCAGTCTTGCATTCACACCACCAGAGCTATATTGGGACTGTTAATTGTTTTCTACACTGCCAAACACATTCAAGTGAGACAAACTGTGCAGAGGGTGTGTTTTTTTGTCAACACATATTTATTCGGTTATATCCTGTGAATTTCAGTCCGACGGTCGCAGGGTGAAGTCGACAGGAGATGAGGCTGCAGGTCCAGCAGCCGCACAGCAGAGGAGCAGGAGAGAAGGAGCAGATGAGGCCTCTGCTTTCTTCGCCAGGCCCGTCAAGATCCGCAACAACAACCGACGACAGCCAAGACCACCACTCAGCAATGGATCTGGTCAGTGTGCCCAATTTTATATATCTTACTTCCTTGTGTACACAGTAACTGCAATTCATTTTGTGTTACAGCAGCAGCTTTTTTAAAATTATTTCTGCTTATTACAGTTCAGCCCAGCGTGTTTAAGAGAGCGACGCGGAAGAGAAGAGAGGAGGTGCGAGGGGCCGAAGAGGTGCATGAGGACGAAAACACAGCTACAGAGCTTCCTGTTGACCAGGTTTCAGCCTTATTACTACACAGTAATAAATGTAGAGTACGCACTCTACATCACTGAAGGAGGTACATTGATTCCTGAAAATATGTTTTAGAGCAAATTGAAAGATGTCTCTCATTTTCCATCCAAAGAGAGCTGCAGAAATAGTGGAGGACGAGGAACTAAACAACCAAAATGATCCTCTGCACAACACACAGCAGGTAGGCATCAATCAAACATTGTTTTATGTTCCCATTTGAATCTGTTTTCTGTCTTCTTAGTTAAATGAAAAAATACCAATACTTTCCCATTCCTTCACTCTCAAGTACAGCGTAGGGCAATTTTTCTACATAACTGACAGACACTGAGGGTGTAATTTAGAAAATGATCAATTTCAGAAGATGGATCCATGATGGTCTGGATGAGAAATTCATTTATGTATTCGTGCATTTAGGCGTACTTTCCTCAATTATAGTCGACACAATTGAAAGTTGAAATGTGAGTGATGAATATGTGACATTACTGGACATATTTTCATCTGAAAATGGAAAAAGCCTCATCTTTTTGTGTCCAGAAAGTCATTTTATAAATCCCTGCGTCTAATACACAAACAGCCCATATATTCTCCCCTTTTTGTCTATTTCTGTGTATTTCTTTCAACACACGCCACTATCCTGCATGTGTTAAAAAAACAAACATTAAATTACATGAAAACTGTTTTTCTCAAGAGACACGCACAAATTATAAAGAGGGAGCAGCACAATGAGGGAGAACACCTACACAAACACAATGGAAAGCAGGTACAGTATATGTGAGTGGGTGGTTAAATTTACATAATCATATTACACGTGTCCTAATAAAAAGGTTCAGTTAATTTTTTTATGTTTAAATGGGTTCAGAATATTTTTTTTTGGTCCTGTAAAAGGCTGAAGAAGATGGTGTGAAAGAGACCCTGACTTCTGTTAGGGCTGAGGAGCCTGCTGCTGAAACACTGGTACAGTACACACACCTACACACACTGCCAACTGCTTAGGACATTGTGAAACAACTTACATCGAGTAGTACAAAAACATAGTCAGCAATGAATGTGTCTCCGTTTTCTAAAGGAGCCTGAGCTGAATCAGATGTCTTCGAAGGCACGGCCTTCATCATCCACCTCTGAAGGAAAGAACAGGGAAGAAAAGGCGAGTTTACTCACCTCACATTATAAAACAGTGCATGATGAGTTCTTGGGATCCCGATGAAAAGCATGCGACTGCTTTTTCTCTTATGCTGTTTTAATAATTTGATTGAACAGGAGAGCACACAGGACACCCCGTCGATTGCAGTAGAACAGAACCATCATCAGGAGTGGTGAAAGAGCACATTCATCAAGGACAATCGCACGACAGTCACACAGGCGAAGCAGATAACCCAGCCATTACTGCTTCTATAATGACCTATTTGGCTAAATGAATGTTTGATTAAATTGATGTGACTTAAACTGTGGTAATAAGCCAAGTAACAACATTAATTTGTGTCAAAAAATGTGAGCACTCAGACAAAATAAGAACAAAACACTTACAGGAGATGGACACATCATCATAAGCTCTAGTACGATACAATCCAAAGCAACAAGTCTTCTGGCATTATGAACCTCACAAAGGTTGTGTTTGTTGTGTTGTACAGCTGTTTATGATATTGTTTCCAACCTGCTCTTCAGTTCTGATGCAGATATTGTGTAGATGATGCAACTTATTCCATGTATGTACATACAAAACAATATTTTGGGGCATTTAAAGCCTGAATGTATTTTAATTTGCAGAAATTTATGATGGAGACAATAACACAACAAGTCGTGTTTAGCCAACAATTTATTAATAAAATATCAGCCACATCACAAGCTAAATAGATGCAACAATAGTAAAGTCATCTGTACAGTGATTTGTGTCAATTAAATACTGTGAGAATAAAAGATATATATTACTATGTACGTTACTGTTATTTCTGAACTCTGTACAACTTGTTCAGATGTTTGTGCACACAACAAGGTCACTCACTCCTAACAACTAAGTCCTTTCTTTGCAAAAGAAAATAGCAGTGGTATATCGTCCTAAGTAATACATCGTTTATACAAGCCAGCAGGGGGAGAAGGAGGGCCAGAGGAAAATAAGTATGAAAAACAGCTTTATGCTCGAGCTACACAGCAATTTGTCCTCTCCCGTGTCCTGTTACTCCCCAAACACACACACCACAGTGTACAGAAGGCAGCTGCAGTAAAATGTCCCTGTTAAAACCGGGAGGTTAGATCTAATTGGTCCATTTCAAACCCCCAGCCTTATTTGTATGTGGCCTCTATAGCATTTATGCAGATGCCAGTCACATGGCGGGGCAGCAGAGTGCTAAAAGTTAACAACCGCCAACTTTTATGCAAGTGCCATAAATCTAGTCTAGCCTTGAGGTGAACCCCGCATGAACCCACTTCCCCTTGAACTTGGTGTAAGAGTTTCTGGACAGGTCTTTTGAAGCTCACGCTGAGTTCATTTAGGCACAATTCTCCCACCAGAACCGTTGCTCTAAGGAGTCGCCGTCTGAATCTAAAACGACCCCCCTCTAGGTCTGCTCCGACTCTGCTTCGGCCTTCCTTTCCTTTCCTTTCCTTTCCTTTCCTTTCCTTTCCTTTCCTGCTGAGGAATCACTTGAAGGCGTAGGAGAATTTGCTTTAATCCTGATTTGTGTTATTGTACGGCCTGCGTCATATTCAGCTTCCCAGAGTCTTTGTCAACAACGGAGCTTATAACACACAGAGTGATGCCAGCCATGGTGAGGAACATTCCCGCGACAGCCTCTGCAGAGAGTGAGGGGTGTGGAGGAGGATATGAAAGAAAAGGAAAGTTTAAAAAAAAAGCAGGTTTTAAAAAACAGAAAGCAAGCAGTACAGTATTTTTCAGGGAGAGAAGAAAGGCACAGGAGGGAATTAACTGCTCAATAGTGTCCTGGCATGCCAGTAAAGTAATGTCTTGCTTATGTAACAGTACTAAATTGGTCATCAGCATTTTCGGATCCTACATTTGTCCTCGTGGGCATTAATATCAAATACTGCGTGGCTGCCTCTTTACTGAACAGCAAGAGTATGAGTTTCACAAAAATGAGTCACTTACGTTTGCCTCCAAACTCTTCACCCAATAACTTGCCAGTGAGCAGAGTGCAAAGGAAGGTGAGAGAGTTGGCAACGGGAACTGCAAGCGATAGCTCTGGATGAGAGAAGTGGAGAAAATTGGATTGAACATTCTGCTACCAAATTAATATGCAAACGTGTGTGTCCTGCTAGACACAGACGATGCAAATCTCCGTACAAAATGCATCGAAAATTGACCTGAAAAGCATGTTGTGCTCCTAATGAAGACTAATGATTTGTTTAAATAAAACCCAGGTCGTGCACCCATGTTTGTAAATGGATATGTACTCTTTGAAATTCTGAGAAATTGGTTGGTACGGTCATTTTCAAATGTTTACATGCAGTAATATCAGTTCTTTACAATGAAAGCTGCTGTTCCCTAGACCAGGATCTATTCTTATAATGTGTATTGGCATTACCATTATAGTAAATTCAAAAATAATTGGGATTTTTTTACAATTATTTTATAGATCAGAAGATTCATAATCTGCAGAATAATTCACAATAGAAGTTTAGTAGCATTACTATGTCATTTGCACGTGTATATTTGAGCTCTCTTTACATGTAGGTTCATTAATCTTGGAGGTAGTGTTTTAACTAGATTCCATTTAGCTGACTTGTGGTAAAAACACATAGTTTAAGCAACAGTTCACTTCCACCATAGGCCTTTCTCACACAGGACATTTTGACATATCATAGTAGGAAAAGCACAGCTGTAAATAATGAAATCAGTATGGGCTGAATTCCATTTAGCTGCTTCAGTTTCAGGGGTCCCTGCATTGCGCACGCTGGCTCACTGTCACAATGTGAAGAGTTACTGGGACACCTGAATACAACAGAGCCATTGTTAATGCTATTAGTCACACCTATGCATTTCTGCTATGACAAGTCGTGTCTGCTGTGAATGCATTTTGGCTTGTCATAGCAGGAAAAGTGTAATTAATAACATGTGTGGGCTGCGCTACATTTAGGTTAGTCACTTCCAGGCTTTTCTTACAGTGCATACTGTCTCACAGGGAGGATTCACTGGCACACCTAATGGAATTTCTGAGCTATTGTTAATGTTATTAGCTACAGCATGTGTTCTTGTCCTACGATAAGATAAGATAGACTTTAATGATCCCACGCTGGGGAAATTCACACATTAGAGCAGCTCCAGATACAACACAGCAGATAAGGAGAAAAAAAATGAAATACACATTACATAACAAAATAAATAAACATATAATGAAAATAGAAAACAATATGTACACTATATACAGCTTTTATACAGATGTGATGTAGTGGCATGGTGTAAAAATAAATAATTGCACAGGACATAAAAATTAGTCTTTCATTGACTCGTGTAACCACTGAATCTACTCTCCCCTATAGAAGCTATAATGCTGACTGCTCACCTGTGGTGGAGAGTGTATAATAGTAGACCAAAGAGCCACTCTGGTTAAGCAGAAATGGGACCAGGTACTGGGCAGCAACACAAAGAAAAAAGGTGTATTAAAATCAACTGCACTGTACACTTGTACACTGGCGAATAAGAACGGCTCTTAGGATTTACCTTGAGGTTTAAGAAAAGGAACTTGACCTCAGCCAGCAGCTGTGAGACCCTGTTGGTCTTGGTCACATTTTCTATCCCCTCTGTGCCTCTCTTCAGAAGAGGGTTGGTGCAGCCCCACAGCACCGACACCAGCAGGAGACTCAGCAGCTCCACTGTAACACAGGTCAACCACATACATACAGTCACCCTGTGCCTTCATATCCTACACCGTGTGTTTACCCACGACCGAGCAACCCGATAAAAAAAAAACAGGGTAAACAGTAGAAGAGTGCAGTTAGCGCTTGAGCTAAAAACAAACTAACAGGGAGCTAACGTTAGCTTAGTTCCTTAGCATTAGCGCTGAGATGTTAGCTGTGTTTGGGTTTACTTTTGTGTTATTCGCTCTAAAAAAGTGAGCACATACTAAGGAATGTATATTCGATACCAAAATACAAAAGCTATGTTAAATAGTGGAAAAACCATACTTTTGAGAGGCTACATTAGCTTGTTAGCCACTCACCTACGGTCACCATCGTAAACAGTCGCTTTAAGGTCGCATTCAAGACTGGTATTCAGCTCCGGTGTTAGTGAACATTCTTTAAATAGACAGTTTCAAATCTGTTTATTCAATAAGGTAATTTATAATAACTTAAATTACAAATTATTAAAATAAAATCTAGCAACCGTACGATGTTAAGACGACGATCTCATTTCTAATTAGGCAACATTTCTTGTCTTGTTGAATGCAGCTTTGGGATTATTATTATTTTTTACACTGTCGTACCAAAAGAAACCAGCTGAGGGCGCAACAACTTGTTCAACAATAATTTAAAAGCACATTTACAACATTCATCTGCAGTTATTGACGTTAATTTAAAAAAAAATGAAAAATCTAATTTATTTTCTTCTGTTTTCTTTAGGTTTTTGCTCACTAAATCTTTGAGGTTTCAAATTATTTTAAACTTCCTCCTTTCATATCATTTTGTTCTCTGTGCAAATCACAAAACAGGTCAGCCACAATTAGAAATATTACATTTTATTTTCATCTGTTCATTTCATTTAAAGAACCACAAACAATACAAATACAGAGAGCAATGAAAATAAAGTGCAAAATCCTTTGGCGTCAAACTAAAAAGGATTCACATACGCCTGTTAGGCTGACACCCAGATGTCTCACAAAACAATTCTGTGGTATCTTCGTCATACAAGGTAAAAAAAACAACACATTTTATTTATTTATTAAACAATACCTAATCTGTGATCAGAAGACAAAGACAGTATAATGCAAGGTTAACCAGATTGTGTAAGTAATATTGTTAAATCTGCAGTATCAACATATTTTCCTCAAACACTGCTTCTTTCATACGGTCTTTGTCTTCTCTGAAGTTTAGACTAATTCTACATTTACTCATGAACCTATGTGGTCCTCTTTAATACAGAAATGTACACACTTAATAGCAACGTTGTCAAGCCATTACTGTCTCCACTACACATTTTCTTCATTGAATTAGAAGTGATGGGAAAAGTACAAACAGTAAGAAACGTATGGCATCTACACTCTGAACACTGACTGTAGCCAAAAGCAAGTCTTCACGAGAGTCTCTGTCACGCAACATCCTTCATGCAATCCCTGGTGTCTGTTTATGTTATGTACGGTTTTGTTCATGATGTGTATTTTGCACACCAAAAGGACATGTTGTTGTCCATGTAGTCGCCAGCAGTGGCTCAGTTGTGACAGTGAGAAATCACTGACGTCACAGATTGAGTTTCCACAGGATTCAGTCAGCACACAGCATGCAGCCACGGACAAAGACAACACATCAGTCAATTCCTGTTGTGAGGCTAAACCGCAGTTCTGTTGTTATGTGTTTTCTAATAATGACGGAGCGCCGTGTATGGTGATCACGGTGGATCCACTGGTGGTGCTGGACTGCTCTATGTGGTTCCCCTCCACGCTGTTCAGCTCAGCCCTGGGCAGCCGGAAGCCGTTCTCTGAGGCTGGGTTGGAATTGACCAGGCTGCCCGACACAGAGCTGACTCCCATGGTGCTCAGCGGCATGTTGCTCTGAACTGTGGATTGTGACAGTTTCTGACGAGGTTTGGAGCCATTGGTACCCAGGACTCTGGACACATGTGTCCGCCTGGCAAGAATTAAACCATGATGTTAAACAACAGTCTCATTTCACTCACATACTATGTAGTAGGCTATTCTTAAGCTTATTCTTTTCATTATTATTATTATTTAGCAAAACAACATTTGATATCCAGTAATAGTGCTCTATAAGGTGTGTTCAACAGTTCAGTGTTTGATGTCCACCTGTTATTCTAAAGGCCCTTCTAGAGATGGAAATTAGCTGTAGCTATAAATCCTGTGATACATTGCATTGGATATTTCTAATGCAATTCTCTATGTATACTGCATCTGTCCCTATCAAATAAACATTAAATGAATTAAATGAAATATGAATATGTCAGATATTCCCTCTAGCTGTGTAATCTGATTTTGCTAGTAGGTTTATTACATCAACCACTAAAGGTACCAGGCGCCGTAGTTACCAAAAAAGAAGACAAAAAAGACAGAAAATGTGTATTTTTTTAGTGAAAACTATGAATAAGCAAGAGAACCCATCACTTTGATAAAGTTCCAACCTTTTTGACTTATGTCCCCCTAAAATGAAGCAATGCCTACATATGACCTCTCATCACTTCATATCTCATATCAATCTCAATATGTCAATTAGCTGTGAGCAGTTCGTATATTTTTGTGTAGAAGAGGCGCTTTTAATTATCTCCTGTTTATTATCTTGTGACCCCCACTGATCTTTGGTATGACCCCTTGGGGGGTCCCCACCCTCAGGTTGGCAGTGGCTCGAAAACATTACAAAGTTGCCTGACTCAAATACTGTAATTAATATACTGCCTAATACTTCTATGTCAGAAATATTGTAAATATTGTGTAATTCTGGATAGTTTTACCTCTAAAAATAATTGAAAAAAACAATCTAAAAAGGGAGAGTCATGCCGAAAGGAACAGGTCACCTATGTCGAACTCATGGACACGTGTACCTGTGAACTGGGGCTGTGAGTAAGTGTCACTTTAAAAGGTCACGAGCTTAAAAAGTTACAAACAGTAAGATAAAGAATAAAGGAGCCTGATGAAAAGGATCAGAGCAGCTGCAGGTATCTAATCCTCCTTGAAGTGGATAAAAATAGTATGATTGTTTGTTTCATGGCTCGTGACATTCACTATGCAGGAATTGCCCTGTCAAACAGGAATGCGTCCCTACCTGTTGTATGTCTTCAGGATGATCAGTAGAATGGCGAGAATGATGATGATACCTATGACAATGACTGCGATCATCGCCCCAGAACCTGCGAGACACAGAGAAACAGGAAGAACAAAAAATGTTGAAACATGTTGAAAAATTGTTTTGAGGGTTGTGTTTTGCATGTTACATTTGGCAGGTATCACACATTCCCTTGGCTCCTCGCTGTGCAACTTATTTTGTCTATCCTGCAGAAGCAGTGTGTAGCTTAGCAACGGCATCACTCACAGGCAAACAGAACATGGCAAATATTTTAAATTCAATGGGTGCCCCTCCTGTACAAACTATCTAGATTAGACTGCATGACGCAAGAGGTTATTTATGAGACTCGACTTATCATTGATGTATTTATTTATTTCTATGTCCGCCATAGGGGGACGCCAAGATCTGATAGTGTCCACAACAAACACGTCATTCACAAGGGTGTGTTTTGTCGATATCCAATTGAAGAGGACGAGGAGGATAAAACATGAACACGAACACACACACACACACACACACACACACACACACACACACACACTTGACATATCCTTACTCTGGATGAGTATTTGTTCTTTGGACTTTGTGACGTTGGTTGTGTTTGATAGGAGTGTAGTGTTGGTCACAGGTGAGACAGTTGAGGCTTGCATCTTCAGCAATAACCTGCACAGACAAACAAATAAACAAATCACTTATTTAGTCAACAGAATATTCTCTGATAAAACAGAACTGTATTTATGTAAGTATTTTAAAGGTTAAAACTGTTTCTGCCTGAGTCACACTACCGATTAAGTGACCCAACAAGAAAAGAATGAGGAAAGAATATGGGAGTAGAAGATTAGAACGACTAATATAAACATCAGTGGCATAGCAGAGGGAGTGGCACCAATTAATAAACCATCTATAGAAATCACAGGACTGAGGATCCTCAACAGGACACGATGTATAAAAATCAAAGCGGGACATGCGCTAATGCCTATATCACTCATCGCAGTGACAAACCTCTCCCCATACGACTGACCTGAAACTGAATGGAAACACGCGACTGAGCAGCTCGCTGTTTGCTCTTTATCAGCTGGTTCTGAGATCACACAGCAGGTTCAGACATTATTGTCATGCCTGCTAAAGCTTTACAAAGACATTTGTGGTTTTAGATTTGAGCCAGTACAGACCAGGAGGTAATGTTCAGACATGTTGGACAAGTATGTTACAGCAGTGCTGCAGTGCTGTGCTACAGTTCTTGTTTTGGGGCATTCAACAACCACCTCCTATGCACATATACATACCCTATTAAATCATAAATCATTATCTTATATATGATCTTATATTTCAAGATTTGTTAGAATTAACTCAGTAAATGATGTTTCCAATAGGGTTTAAGCAAAGAGTTAAGATAAATTAGGTTATAGGTAGGTCAAAAACTGTCTGAATTGATTAAATTAAATGATCAATACTAACAAGTCTGTGTAGTAAAAGTCTAATATCACTTATTCCTCTGTGTCATAGATCTCAATTGTTGAAAGACGATTAAAAACACATCAGTGGGACACATGTTTGCACTGGGTGACATATTCATTTTCACAAACATGAGCATTGTTGTTTATTTTGAGTATATTACTCATATGTCTTTCTGCTGCAAATGTATTACTGTTGTCATAGGATTTGTTGACAATAATAAATAAATAAAATAAGACCAGCCTTACTCTTTAAAGATTTTCAACTCTCAAAAACATCTATCCTATGCATTGGTCTGCAGTTAATCTTAAATTCAGTCTGTTCAAATGAACCCTATAATGGAACTTGATGAACATGTCCTAATACAAAGATGTTTTAATGTGATTTGTGATTTCTCAATCATGACTAATTTAATCAACAAAATCAACAATGCACATTCTCAGGGAGTTTCAGGGAGACTATTAGGGCAGCTCCATTGTGTTTTTATGTTTTTATCTCGATCTAATCTACTGTATTACAGTTGTTATGTGTCACGCGGAGATCATCTGTCATTTAGGAGGATGCCTGATACTGTTCAGGAAACAATCCACACACAGCTGTAGGTCAGGGCTGTCCCTGTAACTGATACTTCCCCTGAGTTGGGATAACACGCCTTTGCATGCTCAGAGATAGAAAGCCACGCAAACGTCACACGAAATGATAACATCTGCAGTCAGTTTGTTTTTAAATTCTATAACCAAAACAATAAATTATGATGACAGTTAGCCCTTGTTTTACAGGAGTCACCTGCACTTCAGTTTCCACTTCTACCACTCTACAGCTGCACACACGTCATCATGGGAGTTTCTTGCCCTCTTTTCACGTAGTACGGCGTAAAACAAAGAGCACATAATGAGTCATTCAAAAGTGAGTCAGAGAGGTGGTCATTAATTAGAAAAGCT